GGGAAAAGAAACTCCCCAAGGCCTGCCTTAGGGAGGGAGTTTTTAGCCAGGAACCATGGCAAAACCCAACATGTATATCAACAAACACACATTATAATATCACAGTGGGAAGGAAGTCATGAACTAGTGAGGATATCACTTCCTTATCAGCCTTACTTCAGCCTCATTTCAGGTGATAAAGAGGAAGGCAGTTGCTTCTGGCTCCTGCTCTGATCCCACGGCCACAAATACAACATGTCTAAGAGATGCATGTGTTAGGGGCACAAGGAACCTCAATGCCACTGCTACTTAACCAGTCTCCTTTTGCCTACTGTTCTGTATGCTCATTACTACAATGACTGGTCTTGCAAAAGAGAGCTTAGGGCTGGGGTGTAGTTCAGTTGGGGAGCACTTGCCTGGTAAGTGCAAGGCCCTGGGTTCCACCCCCAGCACTTCGGAGTTTACTCACAGGGTGACCAAACATGAGTATGGACAGGAGACCCGAGTCTCAAATCTGCCTCTGTGACGATAGAGTTTTGCGGCATTTCTAGGATACAGAAGCAGGGTGGTTGATGGTGTTGGAAAGGTGAGTGGAGGTAAAGTGATGACATCAGTGGTCTGCACATGCATAATAAAATTTCACTTGGCTCTTCGCTGAATGCATACTTAGAAAACGGCAGATATTTGACTCTTTGATATCAGCAGGTCACTCTCAGGACATTTGAACAGTGGTTTGCAAAAGAAAAGCGTCCTCCAAGTTCCTGGAAAACAACTTAGGCAACAGTTGCCATTGTGGCTCAGGGTCACAGGTGTCATCTGTAGCAGAGGTGAAGGAGAGTATATTGCTCAGCTACTTCACCTCTAAACTTGGGATAGAAGCAAGTCACTAAAAGCAAGTGAAACTAGAAGGTTTATTCAGGTTTTCCCCCTCAGTTTCACACCTGTCGTGAGGGTTGGCCTGTTGGCCTTTTAGGCACAGAAGTCTCTTGGTTGTCAGTAGAAATGTCAGGGTTAGCAAGAGAAGTTAGATTTTAGACACTGTGGCTCAGCTGGTGTTTCTTATCAAGCCCTGATTCATTTAAACAAAATGAAATAATAACAACTATAATAATCTTCATTGTCATCATCATAATGTATTTTTAATGTGACCCTTAGTTGCAAATTGAAGCTCATTTCCCACTTGCTCTGTGCTGAAAGACTTCCTACAAGCTTGAGGTTGACTTCTTAGCACAACCCTGTGTTCCCGTCATCCTCTGCAGTGCGCTGGCCCCGAATGCCAGAGGGGTCTGAATCACAGCTTGCACAGATGATGAACCATCAATGAAATAAATTAATTTATCTTTGAATATTGCCTTTTGTTTGAAGGCCAAAGAGTCTTTTGCCATTTGCTCACTTAATAGATTGTCTTTAGCTACTGAATTTTTTAAACGGCTTTTAAGAAGAGGTAAGTATACAACATTCCATGTAAATCTATCTAAGCCTGTTAAGCATTCATCTTTCTTGCAGTTCCCATTAAGCAAATATGTTGACTTGCTTGATAAAGGGCCCCCCTGGACTTGGCAGATAGATGCTTGTGTAGACTGTTACCAATCCCTGGCCTCATAGAGTTTTTGTAGGGAGTAATGTCAGCAATGTAGAGAACTGACACATACATTAGGCTCCCAATGAACATTAGTTCCATTCCTCTGGGGTTGCCAGACCTAGCAAAAAAATTGTAAAACCACAGAGTACCCAGTTAACTTTGAATCTGAGATGATCAATGGAGAATTTTTTTTAGTATAAGCTTGCCCTAAATAATGCATTTGACATACTCCTGCTTAAAAAGTTATTTATTGCTAATCTGATACTCACACTTAATGGTATAGCCTCTATTTCAGGATTTGGCAAACCTAATCCCTCTCCTACTTTCCAGGTCCTAATCTCCTTTTCCAAGAACCAAATTTTGCCCATTATATCTCTAACAAATTTGGTTAAATGAATTGTGCAGGAAACAGGGGAACTTTTCTTTTTTTTTTTTTGTAGATCATAAGAATTTCCACTAAGTTAGATAGAAATTAGATTTTATAAAAAACATTGCAAATACAGTACCTTTCCACAACATTTAGTTCATTCCCTAGCACAAAATGTTGTTCAGTGCCTTTTTATCAGTTGAATAAAAGAATGAATGATTGAACAAATGCCTGGACAGATAGTTCTGATCGCTAAGTGCTGTAGGTGCTGAGAAATGGGCAATCTGATTTCAGCTAGCATGATCAATTTGTTAGGTGAAACCAGAGGAGAAAAATACATACGCAGGTGTGTAGTGGGATGAAAATGACCTCCCTCCAAATATCCACATCTTAATTTTCAGGACCTGCAAATGTACTACTTTACATGGGAAAAGGGACTTTGTAGATGTGATGAAGCTAAGGATTTTTTTTTAACTGTAAAATTCACATTTTCCATCATATTGCCTATTGTTATGTCTGGCAAATCTAGTCTATGATGGTCAGAATGAGAGGGAGGGGGGAGAAAGAGGAAGAAAGGGATAGAGGTGGGGGGAGGGGGGGAAGGGAGAGAGGGAGAGACACAGAGACAGAGAGAGAAAGAGACAGAGAGACGGAGACAGAGAGAGATAGATAGAGCTAAGGATCCTGAGATATGGAGATTATCCTGGATTATCTAGGTGGGCCTAATATACTGGAAAATGTTATACTGGTGACTTTCACCATGAATAATGCGGCCAAAGGTCTAGGAGCTAGAAAAGCCAAGGAAATGGGCTCTCCTCTAGGACTTCCACTGGGAATGGAGCCCTGCAGTCCTATTTCAGACTTCTGACCTCCAAAACTCAAAGGCAACAGATTTGTTTTAAACCATTAAATTTGTGGTAATGTGTTACAGCAGCAATTGGAAAATAATACAAGGGGGATGTAAACAGGAAAGAAAGAGAAATTTGGTGAGCTAGGAGCACGCCTAGCTGGGAAAATTTCCAGATTTATTTGGGACCAATATCAAGGACAAAGAGCAAAGAGAGCTAGAAATTGGCAAATGGGTAGATAAAAAAGGTCAAAGAATGTGGAAATTGGCAGATTCCCAAGAACTGATGAGAGTGGGTATATTAATTTGCTAGGGTTACTGTAATAAAATGCTACACACTGGGAGCTTAAACAATGGAAATTAATTTTCTCACAGTTCTGGCGGTTAAAATCCAAGATCAAAATTAGTTTGATTCTGAAGCTTTTCTCCTTGGCTTGCAGATAGCCACCTTCTCGCTAGGTCCTCATACATTCTTTTCTCTCTGTGAAAAGGTGACTCCTTGTGTCTCTAAGTTTCCTCTTCTTTTAAGGACAGCAGGCAGACCCTAATAACCTTATTTTATTATTATTATTAGTAGTAGTAGTAGTAGTATTTTGGTATTGGGGATGGAACTTGGGACTTTGCACTTGTGAGGCAAGTGGTGGCACCACTAAGCTAAATCCCCAGCCCTCTAATAACCTTATTTTATTTATTTATTTATTTTTATTTTGTTTTTTTTGGTACCAGAGATCGAACTCAGGTCCTTGCGCTTGCGCAGCAGGCGGTGAAACCACTGAGCTAAATCCCCGGCCCTAATAACCTTATTTTAACTTAACCATTTCTTTAAGAGGCTATATCCCAAAACAATCACATTTTGAGGTACTGGGAGTTTAGAGCTTCAAGGTGTGAACGGGGTGGGGGGGCATACAATTGAGCCTACAACAGTGGGGTGGATAAAACGAGGGGTGGTCTAGAAAATAACTTGTTAGTGCCCTCAGATAGGAGACAGACGATCGGACAATTCAGTGTAATGCAAAATGATCTAGGGTTGGATGTCAGGCAGGAGACAGGCACTTTGGGAAAATAATTTGACTCAGGTCTATAGATTAGGTAATAGTATTACATCTGTGCTTATTTCCTTGTTTTGTACTATGGTTATGTAAGACGTCAATATTTGAAGAAGCTTGAGTGAGGTGTATACGGGAACTCTTTGTACTATTTTTGCAACCTTTTTCTAAGTCTCGAACTATTTCAAAATTAAAAGTTAGAAATTTAACTGTGCGTCACTCGGACGGCTGTAATCCCAGCACTCCGGAAGCCTAGGCAGGAGGACTGGTAGGAGTTCCAGGATAGCCTGAACTACATAGGAAGAGGCTGTTTCAAATCAACAAAACACAACGACAAAAAGAAAAGTTAGAAATTTAAGAATTAAGTAAAATGGCGGAGGGAGACCGAGTTAAATGTCACCGTGAAGAAAAAGAAAAGGCAGGAAAAGAAGTAAGGAGAATATAAATTCCATGAGGTCAGAGATTTTCCCTGTTGTCCCTGTGCTGTTTAGGGATAGGGCCTGGGACCTTAGCATTTGTTTTGGGAGGCATTGATCACTGAGGCACAAGCGGAAAGGGGGAAAGCAGCAGGTACAGTGGACCACATTGGGGGGGGGGGAACCGGATATCGAACTCAGGACCTTGCGCTTGGAAGGCAGGCGCGGCGCCGGGCCACATTTCATATTGGCCTGAGGTTAACTTGACATCTCCAAACGAAGTGACACCATCAGTGTATTGTGTATGTTGAAAGAGTGACTTCTTCGCCTGCAAGCTTTTAAGATATATTGCCATTTTGGTAACTGATGTCGGCCTTCCCCTTCGGAGATAGAATTCTTGTGTCACAAAAACTCACAGTTTTAAAGTGTACAATTCAATGATCTTTCACATATTCACAAAATCATGCAACCACCATCCCATCTGATCACAAAACGTTTTCATCACTGCAAGAAAGCCCCATGCTCCGGGAGTAATCATTACCTGTTCTCCAACTGCCCAGCCCCTGAGCACGACTAATCTACCTTCTGCCTGTATTTGCGTCTCCTGGAGGGTTCACGTACACGCACTCAAGCACTAGGTGGACCAGGCACCTGCAAAGGCTCAGCCCCGGGGTTGGAAGGCGCGGAATTGGACGCGCGGGTTGGTGCGCGCCGGTCGGCTGCCCAATCGCGCGCGAGCCCCGGAGACGGAGGTGGAGGTGGAGGCGGCCGCGCGTCGCAGGAAGCCTGCGGGCGGCGGACATGGCGGGCTGGTGGCGGGCGCTTCCGCGCGCGGCCCTGCGCTACCCGTGGCCCACCAACGTGCTGCTCTACACCGGGCTCTTCTCCGCCGGCGACGCGCTGCAGCAGCGGTTGCGGGGCGGCCCGGCCGACTGGCGCCAGACGCGGCGCGTGGCGACCCTGGCCGTGATCTTCCAAGGCAATTTCAGTTACGCGTGGCTGCGCCTGCTGGAGCGCGCGCTGCCCGGCCGCGCGCCGCGCGTCGTCCTCGCCAAGGTGCTGTGCGACCAGCTGCTTGGAGGGCCCATCATGCTCTCAGCCTTCTACGTGGGTGAGGGGCCGGCGACCGGGCGCCATCCGCTGAGTTGTGGAGCTTGGGGGAGTGTGGTAGTCGAGGAGCTGGGGAACCAGAGGTCCCTCGGGTCGGATTCAAGGGGCCCAAGTCGGAGCTGAGAAGCTGGGATTGGGCAGAGTCCAAGGCTGGGGCATAAAAGTGGGGTCCATTTCCCCCTGAAAAAGACACCCTGGAGACCCCAGCTTGACACTGAAGAACCGCAGTCCTGAGGGCCCCTTGTCCTGTGGAAAATCCACGCACCAGTAAAATGTGGGAATCGCTGAGCCTGGTGGGGGACACAGCGGGTAGAACCTGAGGTAGGGACTGATTCCTCAGAAGATTCTTCCTGTGGGTCCTAGTCCTGCTTTGGTAACAAAATTTGACTGAGGAAATTCTATACCCGTGTAGGAGTCTCGTCCTCAGAAATTCCACCCTGGGGCTGGAAGGCCTGGCTTTGGGAACCTTCTCTATGTCTGACCAAGAACAATAGAAGGGGCTCAGTGGCCTCTGTATTCTAGCAATTTCTATAGCCTTGTACACTGGTGAAGGGACTGGGGGCCAGGGGTGGAGACTTTGGGGACCAGATTCCTGTTTAATCTTCAAACAACCCGTGAGACAGATGCGCTCATTTCCTCAGTAGATTTGAGGAAGCTGAGATAGGAAGGAATTGTGCAGTTTGACCAAAGGCAACACAATCTGGGGCTCTCAGTTCTGATGCTCTGGTGTTGAGAGGATTGTCAGCCTGTCCGAGACACAAAGGTGCTGTAGTCCCAGGGCCTCGGCCTCGGAGACGCCTATAATTCAGCCCAGAGGCCCCTGATACGGATTCTTCCCTAGATTGCTGCTTTGCTTTGCTTTTCAGATTTCTGGCCCAGTTTCCCTGCCTTCAGGTTGTAAGGAAAAGGAAGGGTGGAGGGTGGTGGGTTGACTGTTTAAGACACAACTTGGAAGTTGGGTGAACCAGGTGATGCTTGTGCCAGGGCCCCCTTGGGGAACCAGAGGAGTAGGGGATTAAGAAAGGCTTAGGGGCTTAGAAACTGGATGCCTGGGTTGGGTTCTGCTATGAACCCCCATAAGAGCTCTCTCTCTCTCTTTTTTTTTTCTTTTCTGAAAACAAGTTTTATTTAAATAAGGGCTTAAATACATTACATAACATAAAAACTGGGAGAAAAAACCAAAACCAGTTTGTTACTTCACATGGCGTTGGGTGGCTGCTGCGAGTGGGGTGCAAGCCGTCGCTGGCTACACTGCCAGTCAATCAGGTGGCTTTGTTCCCTTGTCAGAAGTTTAACTGCACCGGGCTGGCCCTTCGTGCTGGAGTTTGGTGTCCTTAGCTAGGCTGTCCGGTCCCCAAGCCCCCGGCAGCCTGCTGGGTGTCACCGCCTTGCTGGGGAGGGTGCCTAGTTGTCACCTGGTGGGGTGAGACGCCAAGGGCTCCCTCTAGTGGCGCCGCCACGCCACCGCCTCACCCCACGCTCTCGGGGGCGGGGACTGTGCAGAGCTCCGAGCTCCTGGCCCGACACAGCTGCCCGCGGTCTCGGGGCCCTGCTGGAAGATCGGGGCCCTGCTGGAAGATCGCCGCACTGCTGGTTAAGGCTGCACACTGCCGGCCCCTCCTGCGTGAGCCCTGTTCAAAAGAGGGACTTCCAGACTAGACAGCATGGCCCTTTTCAGTTTACTGCATGTAGGAGTTACGCTAGTCCAAGGGAAAGCAGACCCCAAATGGTTACATTATACAAGCCGTGAGGTTTTTAAACTCCTGACAAGGGACTGGAGGGACATTCTACTCACTGCAAGGAAATCTTCACTTAAGCTTCAACGAGCCACAAGCATTTAAAACCCATGAACCTTCAGCTGATCGTCCTTAGCTAGTCTCTACCAGGAACTGGAGTATGTTCTCGAGCTGGTCACTCTGGAGCTGGATTACTTCTCCATATTCTGGATGCTCGATTACAGTGCCATTGCAGGCAGATTTCTTCTTAAACGCCTTCACCAGTTTCTTTTTATCGTAGTCATCAGCGATCCCTTGGACAGTGGTAAGGGTCTTCCTGCCGTTTCTCTGTTGGATTCTTATATGGATATAATCCTCAGTGCCGGCAGGAAGCAGGTCATCACCCTTACTTGCATCAGCAAAGGGGTCGAAAGAGTGGAGGTTCTGGATAGCGGACAGACGATATGATTCCTTTTCCTCGGTGGAAATGGCCTGCGGAAGGCGGCTGTGGGAGAAGGCAGGTGCGGATCGCCGAGAAGCAGGGGGCTCAAGGGGGAGGCAGCTGAATCCTCGGCAACGGCTCAGTGACTGGGGCCCCCATAAGATCTTTTCTTCCTTTTAATTCTCCCTACTTCAGCAGATTGGTTAGGAGGATTCAGATGAAATGGTCCACAGAAAGTGCTTAGCATTTAATAGTGCTGGGTAAGTGGAAGACAGTATTACTAATATTTTATAATCTATGACTCTTGTTCTAAGAATCTCCTGCAATTAACTGATAAGCTCTTATCTCCCTCCCTCCTAATCAGGGATGGGAGTTAGGTGTTTTTGTTTTTTTTTCTTTTTTGAGACAAAGGCTCACCATGTAGTTCTGACTGGGCTTGAACTCACTGTGTAGCCCACACTGGCCTCAAACTCATGGTGATCCTCTGAGTGCAGGCATCTGGCACTGTGCCCATCTGGGACAGAATTTTTTAAGCTGTCATTTGTATACCTGCTTAAAATAGAGTTTTGTCCTTGCTCCCAAAATTTCTTTTCAGGGATGTTGAAGGCAAAAGTTTTCAGTGTTTTTAGGAATGCTAAATTGGGGTTTGTTCTGATTAGAATAATCCTGAAAGGAAATTTGTAGTTGCCAGAGTATTTATTTCAGAGTTCACCAGCCTTTTCTAAAAATAATGAAATTAAGTGGGAGTGTAGCTCAGTGATAGAGGTTGTGCTTAGTTTGGATGAGGCCTTGGGTCCACTCCCCAGTACACACACACACACTCAGGCACAAATAAAATTTAAAAAATTTTAACATTTCACCAAAGTTGGGAGTTAGAGAAAAGTCACCTGTAGACTCACTATCCTAATGTAGTTTTTGTGTATTCGTACAGCTCTTTTGTTTAAAAACTATTCTGCTATAACTTTTGTATCCTCCTAGTTTCATTTAATATTTGTCATTCCTCTAACACTGCCCTAATTTTGTGATGGAGATTATTTTCTCCATTGGATATACTGAGTGAATGGTAACAGTGGGTGTTCTGCATGTTGGAATGGGAAACTTGAACATACACTGCTACAGCAATCTTCCTGCTTAATATTTAAAAATGCTTTTGGTGTGTGTTTTTGCTAATAGGTATGAGCATTCTCCAGGGACAAGATGACATAGTCTTAGACCTGAAGCAGAAATTTTGGAATACATATAAGGTAAGATAGGCTTTTGAAAATGCAATCAATATCTTTTTGTATATTTTAAACATTAAACACACCTATTCTTAAATTAGGCTCCAGTTTGGTAGGCCTAAGAGTTTAGTATTTTGACAAAGAGATCTTGAAAAAAATGTTTTGTTTTGTTTTTTCCCCATTAACTTTATTGGTACATTTTAGGTATAAAATACAGTTACATTCATCATTGGGATCTTGTACCATTACATGAGTCTCT